CCCGCCCCGCCCCCGCCGTCCAGCCCGGGAGGGTGGCTCGGGGCTCTCCGCGCTCGCTGCGGGTGGGGACGGGCTGTCCCTGCCTTCTCGGGCTTAGTCCTGTTTCTCAAAGGGCCACGTTTCTCTGTCCAGGGGCGCACGGATCACCCTTAGCGGAAGCCAAGTCGATTTCCCTTGGCGCCCTGGGGCGCCCCTTTTTGGAGAGAATTCGTGTTTGTGGGTCACCGAGCTTTAACATTTTCCTCTGCTCTCTCTGCCAGGATTTGCCGGGCTTTAAAGGCAGTGCTAGGGCGGCTGGTTTTCTTCTCTTTTTCTTCGGGAGGAGCGGGGAGTCTGCAAGGGGTGGAACCCAGGGCCCCTACACTGAGCTACCTGTCCGCACCTTCTCCTTTTTTTTTTTTTTTGATATCAGCAATTGAACTCGGGACCTCGCGCTTTCCAGGCAGGTGAGTGCCACTGAGCTATAGCCCAGGCCCCACCCCCTTTTTTTAATCGAGGTCTCCCTCAGTTGCTTAGTCACCCAAACTGTGCTCAAGCTTTCCGTCCTCCTGCCTCAGCCTCCCAGAGTGCTGGGATTACAGGCCAGAGCCAGTACCCCTGGTACTAGGGCTGCTCTTTGCCGGACTATGCGCCTGCAGCCTGCTCCGGGCACTGCACCTGCGGTGTCGCCCGCGGCGCTCATAGCAAGCCTTCCAAAGAGACAGGACGGACTTGCTGAGCAGGTGGCCTGGTCAGGGTCGCCAGGCCAGTTCCTAAATAGAGGCAGCTTTGGAGCAGGCTGAGCTCCGCAGTGGATACAGTGGAGCTGCTGTATTGATTTCTCCTTCCGGCTTTCCCTACTTCCCACCTTCCCTCCTCCCTATTTTTGGAGCTGGGCTGGAACCCAGGGCCTCACTCACCCTAGGCAAGCGCTCTATCACTGAGCTACACTGTCAGCCCCTGTGTTCAGTCTTTAAGACAAGAGAGGCTTGGAAGGGGCCAGGAGGAGAAACCAAGTGAGGCGCCAGGGTCCCGAGTTCAGCGTGAAGGAAGTCCTGTGTGTGTCCACCCCGTGAGCGGGTCACTGTGACAGGCGGGGGAGTGTGCTGTCAGCCACGCTGGGCTCCACTCCCCACAGGGTGACAGGTGGGACATTTGTCCTGGTGTCCTCCTTCTGCACGCCAAGCCCTGGATCACAGAGGGAGATGGTTCAGGAAGGATGGCAGACCAGTGTCAAGATGACTGCGCGGCCCTAGGGCTGCGGGTGCCCGTGGGGAGCCAGGGTGGGCCGGGGTCACCCAGAACAACCTGGGAGGCCCGGGCTGGGAACTACACGCCTGCCACAGCGTGAACCTCCGGGCTCGCTCCACCTTCTCTTCCACTTCTGGGGAAAAGCCTCTCCTAGCTGCCCCTACCCTTCTTGTCCACAGAGGTGGGAACCCCTCGCTTAGGCGCTCTGCCCTGTCCTGTGTGTCTGCAGTCCTGCCCTGGAGGGGCCCGCAAACCAGAGGGGACTGGCAAGTGCAAGGTCCTGAGTTCGGTTCCCGGTACCGGAGAAAAACCAAAACCAAAAAAAAAAAAAAAAAAAAAACCAGAGGGGACTCAGGCTGTCAGTTCTGGTCCACTTCCCTCTCAGGGCAAGCCTGTGGGAGGCCGAGGCCCAGAGAGGGGCGAGAGGGTGAGAAAAGCAGAGACGCTCTTGGTTTTTCTCCACGGAGCTGAGGACAAATTGATGAAGAGAAAATCTCGAGACAAACCTAAATACCCTGTAAGAATGCTTACGTTCACCAGGAGGGTAAAGGAAGGTTTTGTTTCTCCCTAATTCTGAGCAGACATGCCAGCATCTTCTCTTACATCCATAACACCAGCAGTGTTTCCAGCACACGTGAGAACTGCCGCCACCACATAAGCGGGAAGACACTGTTGAATTCAAAATATCAGATATGTTTGACAAAGCCCAAAGGACCAGTTAGCTTATCACCATCTCATTTCTCCAAAGCTGGCTTCCTGGACCTCCTTGGCTTCCCGCTGTGAAGACAGCAGGAGGATTATGACAGGTAAAAGGGCTCTCAGCCTCCTTGGAAGTTACCTCAAGTTATACAGGAAGTCAAAGAGTCCCGAGACCCTGCCTTTGTAACAGAAAAACCAATACCAATGCAAATGGAAGATTCTTTGCCTGGAGGAGCTAGAAAACAACTTTTATTACGCTAGCAGGCTGGGGAGCCCAGAAGTTCAAATCATCAGCCCAGAGTCAGGTTTGAGTTCAGTTTAAATATGGTTTTCAGGCTGGATGTGGTGGTGCATGTTTGTGATCCCAGCACTTGGGAGGCTGAGGCAGGAGGATCGTTGGGAGTTCAAGGCCAGCTTGGGCTGCAAAGTGAGCTCAAGGCCAGCCTGAACTGCATAGCGAGACTCTGTCTCAAAAAGACCAAAAAAAAAAAAAAAAAAAAATGGTTTGAAGTGGCAAGTACATAGCTGATAGCAGGTTATTACATGATTTGATACATGGATTACATGAATTAAGTCATATGTTGTCAGGTAGATTTGTACAGGAACATTTTGGAAAGGAGGGCGTCTGAGAAGAGTAGGTAGAGTTGAAAGTGTCCTTGATTGGGTCAATCGTCCCGAAACATGATGGCCTTGAAGCCCTTGAAGCAAGTTGGAATCACTGTGTATTTTTATTTATTTATTTATTTATGTTTTTTGGTTCTTTTTTTCCGGTACCGGGAATCGAACTTACAACCTCGCGCTTGCCAAGTAGGTGCTGCGCTGCTAAATCCCCAGCCCCCTCCCTGTGTATTTTTTAAAACACAAGCTGGACACAGTTGGGCCCCACACATTGTCCAGGGGGAACTTCTGAGCCTAGTCAGTCAAGGCTAAATGAGTACAGTAAGCTGGCTACGTGAGAGGCTGCAGGAGCCTGTGGTCACAGGCCTCTGATTGATTTCTGATTTTTGCTATGATACATCTACAAGCTTCCTATTCTGTAAGTGCCCTTACACCTTGGCTCTTGGGGCGCAGTGGAAAGATTTCATCTTTACAAACGTGGACGAACAGAAGAGCTCAATTTTATACATTTGTTTGTGAACTGGGAAGAAATGCAGACCGCTACACTCTGCTGCCAGAAGAACACGATAAACAGAGAGGTGAGTTTTAAAACAGACCATTACATCTACTTTTGACTTTTCCTGGGACTCTACAAAGGCCATGAAGCACATTGAAAAAAAAAAAAAAAAAAAAAACACAACGTAATTATCCATTCACCCGTTTATGGCCATTTTGGTTGTTTCCAAGATTCAGCTATTGCAAACTCTGCCGCTGTTGAAAAAAAAAAAAAAAAAAAGACAACACAACGTAATACCACCAAGAGAAGAAGAGAAGGCAGCAACAAAATCCTCGTGGGAGCCAGGAGGCGGAGCCCTACCCTGGCGGGGGACATGGAGAACCACGCGATTTATGCTGTAGACCCAGGAAGTGGCAGCTGTCGTTTCGGAGCTGGAGGGCAAAGGAGAAGCTAAGACGGGAAATGTGGTAGCAGCTGCCCCTGGGCTCCAGCGGGAGGCCGCTGTGCCTTCCCCAGTCCCAGGCATTCCCTAGAGAAAGTGGAGCCCAGGGTTCCGGGCTGCAGGCGGAGTGGGCTCGCCCTGCAGGAGGGGGACACGCCCTGGGGACAAGCGTGTCTCAGTTTCACAGCCCCAGACCGCTGAGGGAGGTGGGGGGCAGGAGGGCTTTGGTATCCATACAGGAAATGAGAGACTCTTTCGGGGGCATCTAGCACAGCCCAAGAGGGAAGACCTAGGGGTGCAGGCACAGACCCCACTGGTAACGGGCTGCCCGGCTGTGGGCCATGAGGCCCGGGGTGGGAAACCCACTCACATAGCTGTTTAATTGCCCACTTTTTTTTTTTTTTTTTTTGAGATAGGGCCTGGCTGGGTAGCCCAGGCTGGCTGACATCGAAGAAAAGCTTCTAACATGATAGAGCAACAAACAAACAAGACAAACAAAAAGCCTCAACAACAGAAACTAATCAAACAAGAGAAGAGTAACATGAAAGAGCAAGACTACAGGAGGAGAGAAAAACAAAACAAAGTCAAACAAAACTAATTACAACCTTCCTTAGCGAGATAGCAGGTGACGTCCCATCTGTGAGGAAGGAACCGGATGTAATAAAGATTCGTATTCAAGGGACTACAAAAAAGTTTGGGAAATCTAAAAAACTAATAGTAGATTTTTTTAAAAAAAAGAGGGCAGAGGTGTAGCTCCGTGCCTGCTTAGCATGTGCAAAGACTTCAATATCCAACACCTGAAAAAAAAAGTAAACAAATACTTAAATAAATAAATAGAAATGTTGGAAGATCTCCCAGTGTTGTGGCTTGTGTTGAGATGTGCCCCCAGGGGCTGGGGATTTAGCTCAGTGGCATAGCGCCTGCCTGGAAAACGCAAGGTTGTGAGTTCGATTCCTGGTGCCAGAAGAAAAGCAAAACAAAACAAAATAAAACAGAGATGTGCCCTCAAAGCCTCCATCAGATGTGAGTAGGGCTTTCCATAGGCGGCTGGATCTGGAGGGTGTGGTGCTGGGATGAAGGGTGTGTGATTACTGAATTAGCCCACTGACTGGCCTGGCACAGCTCTGGATGTGGATAATGGGAAGGCCCTCCCTGGGTGTGAGAGCTACCCGCCCTAAGGGTATGCAATCTGGAAAGAATAGAAAAAAGAGGGCTGCTGCCTTTGGTCACTGCTTGCTGCCTCCTGCCTGCCATGGACTAGTTCCCCTCTGCAGTGCCACCCTGCCTTGGAGCCAGCCAACTAGGGACTGAAACCTCTATAAACTGTGAGCTAAGTAAACCTCTCCTCCTTTAACATTGGGTGTTGGGTTTTTCGTCTGTGTAATGAGAAAAGGGCATCTAAGACATCCACAAAGCAAAGTAAAATGACAGAAGAGGTAAAAAAGACGAGGACCGGGGAAAAGGTGACGGTCCGGCTGGGGTGCCTCAGCCCACAAACGCGTCCCCAGGGAAGAGCAAACCAGAGAATCCTCGTCGGGCACGTCGTTGGTGACGTCAGCGGGGAGTCCCCCAAAGGTGTCCAGGCCAAGGCTCACGGGGTGTCCTGGACAGTGGGTGTCACAGGCTCACACCAAACCTTAAGAAGGAGCCCACGCCGCGGTGTGACCTTTCCTACCTCATGGTGTCTGTGTTGCTGGCCCCAGGGGCAGAGCAGAGGAGAGGCCGCCGGACAGTCAGGAGGTCATGTGGGGCCTACTCCACCGGCTCAGTTTCCTCAGCATGAGGGGGGCTGTCTGTCACAGGGTGTTGGGCGACCTCCCTAGCTAGGAGACTTGACTCAGCGCAGTGCTGGGCTCCTCGCAGATACACAGTGATCAGCCGGATTGCTTTGCTGTAGGGCTGGGCAGCAGGGAACGGCTGCGCACGGGGCAGGGACAGCACTGCGGAGACAGAGGCGGACCGGTGTCTGGGAGAGGAGTCTGGGGACCCCATCCTCACCACCCACCCCGACCCTGTGGCTCCTCAGGGAGAAGTGCATCCCCGCCCGTCCTGCTCCTCTGGTCCTGGCGGTGAGAGCAGCGCCTGGTACCAGTCAGAGCTCTGTGGAGACCGGGTTCATGCAGCAGAGGGATCTGTGAATTGCCCTGCTGTGTGCCCCTAAAGGATGAGTGTGGAGTTCATTCGACAGAGGAGAGCGGGGTGCAGCTCAGCAGTACCCTGGCCTCCACTCCCTGCACAACAGCAAAATAAATTGGGGAAAAGAAAGGAGAGACAGACAGACAGACAGACAGACTCCCGGCTTCCAGGACAAGGCCACTGTGACCCACAGCCTGGTGGGGTGGGCTGGAGCCTGGGAGGGGCCAAGGCTTTATCAGGTTTGAAGACAGAGGTTGGGGAACAACACTCTGAATCGGGGAGCTTTTGTGAGTTTGCTTTCTGGGCAGCAGTAGCCCTCAGCAGAGTGGCAAAGGGGCTTTGTGTATCACCGCCTGTGCCACCCGCGGGCATCTGAGGGCAAGGCCGGCCTGGTCGCCATTTGGGCAGATGCTCCGTGGTGAGCCTGGAGGTGGAGGACTCTCGGAGGCCCGGAGAGAGCTGTCCTCAGGAAAGGCTGGCTGTGCCACGTCATTTGCCCGAGGGTAACCACACCGTGCCTCTTCAGTTTGAGGATGAGTAAGATAAAGAGGAAAAGTCCTCCCGGGGCAGCTCAGCCTGGTGCCGGGGCCAGGCACTGATCGAGCTCTGGTTCTGAGTGACTCACGAACTTGGTAGCAGGAAGCCGAACCCCACTGGGGTCGCCCCAGCCCCCATCACCTCCCCAGACCGAACCAACCAACAGGCTGAAGCAGAGCGCCAGCGGAGACAGTGCTGACTCTGCTCCTTCGGACCTTGCAACACCGGCTTCCTGTAAGTCACCTGCCGCCGCCAGCTAGCGAGAGCCCCGTCCACACACCTCAGTGTGACCCACGCCCTCACCAGGCCCCCCTCCAGCTGGGTTACGCTCCCTCCTCGTTTCCTTTGGGTTTGGGAGGGAACAGCGTTGGGAGGTGACTTCAGGGAACGGAGTCAGGCGACCGTGGGGTGGGGGACCTGCAGTGCATCTGGGTGTCACCTTCTGGGTGGACTCAGGTCTGGAGAAGTAAGCTGGCACTGTCACGCAGGTGGCCTCAGGGCAGAGGCCAGGTATCCGTCCAGTGGTCCCTAGATCTCTTCCTGCATGCCCTGCCCCTGGCATCTTGAACTCACCAGCCTTCCCCATCCCGCTGACCCCATCCTTTGCAGCTCCGCAGCATCTTTTCTCCCCAGAATGGCCAAAGCCCTCCACCTTGGCCTCCGCAGGTGTGGAGGCAGGTGACCGGAAGTGGCTTCAGACTTCCTGTGTCCCACTGCGACCGGAACTAGCTCGGGCCCATTGGAGGTGGATGAGGCTGGCAGGGATGACAAAGTCCCAGCTCACCAAGCACTTCTGGGCGGAGGGTCACCCCCACTCCCAGCCAGCCTACTCGTTTGTGGACATTTGGATTGGCTCTTGTTTATGGTATTGTGAAGAATGCTCTTTGCATGTGGGTGGGCAGGTATCTCTTGCAGTCCTGTTTTTAATCTTTTGTCCATGCTCAGGGTGGAACTATTGGGTTCTGATTCCATATTTATTTATTTATTTTTTTGAAGGGGGAGATTTGAGACAGGATCTCACTATGTAGTTCAGGCTGGCCTTGAACTCCTGGTGATCCTCCTGCCTCAGCCTCCTGAGTGCTGGAATTACAGGCATGAACCACACCTGGCTTTTTTTTGGTTGGGGGCGGGTCCATGTTCAGTTTTTTGAAGATCCTTGTAGTGCTCACATTTAAAAGCAATGCCGGGGACTGGGGATTTAGCTCAGCAGCACAGTGCCTGTCTGGCAAGTGTGAGGTCGTGAGTTCGATTCCTGGTACAGGAAACAAACAAACAAACAAAAAAAAAAAAAAAAAATAAAAGCAATGCTGCATTGTTTTCCATGCCCCTCCGAGGAAGAACACACGCTCTCTCTATTTTTTTTTCATTTTTTTGGTTTTTCTTTCCCGTACTGGGAACCGAACTCACGACCTTGCGCTTGCCAGGCAGGCGCTGTGCCCCTGAGCTAAATCCCCAGCCCCATACGCTCTCTCTAATAGCACCAAGTTGGCATTGCACTTTCCAGGGCCAAATCAGTGTCATTTTAAAAACAATTCTGATTAAATCAGGAGCAAAAGCTGGGCGTGGTGGCGCACACCTGTAATCCTAGCACTTGGGAGGCTGAGGCAGGAGGATCACTGTGAGTTAGAGGCCGGACTGGGCTACAAAGTGAGTTCAGTGTCAGCCTGAACTGCATAGGAGACCCTGTCTCAAAAAAAAAAAAAAAAAAATCAGGAGCAAAGATATGTTCATGCTGAGGATTGAACCCAGAACCTCACGCATGCTACGTACCCCTGCCCCTGGTTGCTATATTGCTATTGCTTAATGTATGTTATTAAAAAGAAAAGTGAATTTGGGAGTAATTCCATATTTACCAAATAGTACTAATGACAGGTATTTGCTCCTCTACTACTAAATTTATGCCCTGCTGCCCTATTTCCAGCACTTTTCTGTACCCATGGCGTTTCTTACCTTCGAATCTTTCAGAGGCTGTTTTGAGGGGTAATTAAAGTCCACATCTGGGGAACCAACGCTCCGCACTTCCCCTGCTTGGGGCCATGGGGAACAGGTGCCACCACCTGTGAGCACGCACAGGTGTGACAAGTCCCAGCTGCCCGACTGCGAGACTTCCCCCGCTGCCAGGGCTGGGAAGGCTTGAAATGTGCAGGTGAGAATCCGTGAGATACAGGCTCTGATTACGTGGTTGGCAGAAAGCCACCTAGTTTATTTATGGGGATGCCCTCCCCAAAGAACGTAGCTGGTGCCTACACAGTGCGTCTGTCCTCATCTGCGGGGACCACGTCTCTGGATCTGTTGAAACTCTGATGGGAAATATTCAGAAGACACAGTTCCCGAAAGTTCCCAAATCAGAGCCTGAATTTGCCGTGTGCTGAGCTGGATCCACTTGCTGGGTCCACTGGCGTGAGGGCAGCTGCTGTCCCCTCCCGCGGTGTCCTGTGCTGGGCTCTCGGTGAGCTCTGTGCTCCTCTGGTTTCTGTCAGGGACTGAGCCACTGACCGCCACATCTGTCCTGAAATAAACTGCATCCTGTGCTTACCCCCAGCCACCACAGTCTCCCGAGCACTCACACGGCCGTGAGGTGTCAGAAGGCGTCCGGGGATGACTCAGAGTTCACAGCGTGTGCATGGTTACACGAAACACGACCTCACTTGGAGCAGGGACATGAGCATGGGCTGGCTTTGGTACCCGCATGGGGTCCTGGTGCCCACCCGCCTCCCTTATCAAGGGTGACTGTATTTAAAAACCTTTACGGTAGGAATGAAGCCAACAGCCGGTCAACGTGCATTTCTTGAGCATTTACCAGGAATAAGGTCTGACCGGAATGGATATTTGGAAATGCAAACCAATCCTCCATTCCTGAAGGGTCACCTTTCTTTTTCTCCTTCACATTTCTGCAGCAGACCTCAGCGTGCGGAAGTCTCCGGCTGCATTCTCAGTGGGTCTTCGTTTTTAACACGTGTAACAGGTGCCTTTCTGTCCATCCTAGGTTTTTACAAGAGTCCTGATTTAGAACATTCCCACTCCCAGGCCGCCCGGATGGATTTGGGGCCAGTAAACACGGTCACGTGAATGACAGCCCTCGGTCCACTTTCCTGCGTGGACTTGCGGCTGCGTGGGAGACCTACCTGAGCCACGCGTGTCAGAATGGGCTCATTACTGCACACGCCCTGTCCAGTCCCACGGCCCTGTCACCCGAGACTCACCCTGACAGACCCGAAGGGGACATCTGGAGACCTGGATGCTGTGTGCTTCCCTCCTGGGGCCTGGGCTGGCGGAGGGTCCTGTGGGCAAGCTCGGGGCTCCCGGGCCAGTGGTGCCAGCCGGGCCCCTGCACAGGACGGATAGGGTTAGGACCCGAGGTCACACGGCCTCACCCTCCAGAGCTGCCCAGGGCAGGGCACTGCCTGGAGAGGCCACGGAGAGCTCACTGGGGCTGCTGAGGGGGCGCCTTGCGGCCTCTCAGGGGCTCAGGGGACAGTCTGTGGCCCCTCACTTCTCACTCTGCCCTCCCTGGCCCCTCCGTCTCTCCTGCCCTCCCTCTGAGGTGTCCACCTCCCTAGGCCTGGGCACGGCTGGGCCCCACGGGGGTGGGGATGGACATCAAAGCCAGCAGTGGCAGGCGACCCAGGGATGGCGAGGAGGGCCCAGCCTTCGCCTGAGCCGACTGCCCACTGCCCTCCACCCTCAGCAGCACTGTGCCTGCCTGTGGACAGGTCGCTTCCCGGGAGCCGGGCTCCACCCGATCACCACTTCGGCTGAGTGCTGTTGTGTGCTCCCGGCTCCTGCTGCACTCTGGCTTTTAAACCCACGGCTAGGCCGGGAATATAGCTCAGCGCACAAGCTCCTGCCTGGCAAGCACAAGGTCCCGAGTTCGATTTCCGGTACAAAAAAAAAAAAAAGACAAACCCGTGGCTCTATTCTATTTTTATGCACACACAGCGCGCTGCTCGTGTTCTGTCCCAGAGTGCTTTGGTTGGCTGGTGGTGTTGGCTGTCTTGTCTTCCAGCACAAGTAGCTTCTTGCTTATCTTTGTTCTTCTGTATGTGCTGTGATAAAAATGCGGTGAATTAAAAGATATATTACAGCAGAAGATGCATTGCCACGAGCCCCCTCAGAATCCTCCCCTGGCTCCCAACACACTCGTCTCACCGTCCTCTCTACTTTCTGCAGCAGCTCTGGAGTCCTCTTTCCTGAGGGTCTTTAAGTTGGGCCGTCCTGGCTCCTCAGCGTCCTGAATGCAGTCAAGACGCTGACCTTTCGTGGTCATCTTCACTTTGGAGAGAGCCAGGAGGCACATGGTGCCAGCTCTGGTGAATGAGGTGGATGAGAACCCAGCACTGTGTTCTTATTTGACAGAAATTGCTGGAAATGGGCCGGGCGTGGTGGTGCCCACCTGTAATCCAAGCACTCAGGAGGCTGAGGCAGGAGGATCCTGGCGAGTTCAAGACCAGCCTGGGCCATAAAGTGAGCTCAAGGCCAGCCTGAACTGCAGAGCGAGACCCTGTTTCAAAAAGACAAAAACAAAAACAAAAGCAGAAATTGCTGTAAACGGTTAATCAATGTGTGGTAAAAAAAATTACAGGGAATGTTTACATTTTAAAAGTTCATTTTAGGGGCTGGGGATTTAGCTCAGTGGCAAAAGCGCCTGCCTGGCAAGCGCAAGGTCATGAGTTCGGTTCCCGGTACCAGAGAAAAACCAAAAAAAAAAAAAAAAAAAAGTTCATTTTGATAAAAGAAGGTACACTGTCATGGCCCCTCACGTTGAACACGCTTATGCCATTGTTCTTGGCAGTGCATCTTTTACTGTAATTTTTTTCCCATATAGTTGGTAGCCTTTCGTTTTTAATTAGTTTACTTTGTTTTACTTTTTATTAATTTTTATTTTTTATCAGCACACAGGATTCTGTTCTCCACAGGGCGCCGGTGTATGCACACCGCACACCATCATCCTCTTCACTTCCCCTTCCCCTTCTCTCCCTCCTCCTCCCGCCATCTTCCAGTGCCTTTTTCTTTCACAAAAGCTCTCTCTTCCTGTTTCCTATCATCTGTTTTTTTACTTTGATCTTTAATTCATTTACACTTTGGGTTTCTCATATCAGAGAAACCATGTGCTGCTTAAGCTGGTGTGTCTGACTTATTTCACTTAACAGTATGGTCTCAAGGGGCATTCATTTGCTAACAACTGTCTCAAGTTTATCCTTCTTGATGGCAGAGTAGTACTCCGGGTGTAAACACCACATTCTCTTTATCCACCCATCTGTTGATGGACGTGGAGGCTGCTTTGCAGATGTAGCTGTTATGTCGTGCTGCTACACATGTGGGTGTGCATGGATCACTGTGGTATGTTGACTTTAACGCTGTGGGGATTTTTAAAAATCTTAAATACTCACCATCGGGTTCAGTCGCCCCTTGTACATAGGAAGCAACTGCGCTGGTGCTAACGGCTCCTGCAGTGAGCGTCCATCTGCCGCCCTGCTGGCCGCCAGCCTACAGAACTGGCCCATGCAGGCAGGGGCCAGGGACAGGTGGCAGTTTAAATAAGGAAGCTGAGGATTTCCCACCGAAGGCGCCAGGTATGAGATGTGGGTGAGGAGGGGGCAGGCAGGGAGCCCACGGCACCGGCCCACACTGTCCAGTCTGACCACTCCTCGTGGTCCACACCCAGAGGCCCCACAGAGGGCTGTGCCGAGGGCGTCAGAACCAGCTGCGTGGCTGTCCGCCTCTGCTCCGCCCCCGGCTTGCTCTGATTATCAAAAACCGCAGCGAAACGAAACCTACCTGCTCGCTTCCACCCGTTCAGAGCGCAGGACAGCGTCTTAAGTCGGTCTCTCTCCGTCAGGACCCACGAGCACTCTTCCATTCTGAGTACGCGTCCTTATTCCATTCACCCCGCTTACAAATCGCGTTTGAAGCTGTAGTTTGCAAATGTATTCACGGCAAATGTTTTTAGAAGCGAAAATTTGGAATCAGCTTAAGTGTGCCCAAATAGGGTAATGGGCGATAAACGAGGAAACATCCATTCAGTGGGAAATTAGGCACTTTAAATTTGGTACTTAGGAAGTTTGCAGTAAAGTGGAAAATGTTTAGCTCTTTTGCCGTTAAACTCGAGGAAAATTATAATCTCTAGTTTATTTACAGCAGCACCATAATTATGTTTTTCCACACAAGTACTAAAATAAACAAGCCGGGCGTGGTGGCGCACGCCTGTAATCTCAGCACTTAGAAGGCTGAGGCAGGAGGATCATTGAGAGTTCGAAACCAGCCTGGGCTACAAAGTGAGCTCAAGGCCAGCCTGAACTGCATAGCAAGACCCCGTCTCAAAAAAAAAAAAAAAAAAAAAAAACCCCTAATGCTTACATAAAAAAAAAAAAAAAAAAAAGGGTTGGAAAGAACTATGCCAACATGTACCTGATAAAATCATCCTTTGGTAGGTGAAGGGTGGGTGATTTTTTTGTTTGTTTTATTTTTTTGAGACAGGGTCTTGTTATATAGTTCAAATTGTCCTTGAACTCACTATGTAGCTCAGGCTGACCTGGAACTCTCAGTGATCCCCTGCCTCAGCCTCCCAGATGCTGGGATTACAGGCGTGTGTCACCACATGATGTAGGTTTTGAAAAAATATCCAAAGAAGATGCATGGAGCCAGGTGTGGTGGCACACGCCTGTAATCTCAGCACTCGGGACACTGAGCAGGAGGCTCACTGTGAATTCAAGGCCAACCTGGGCTACAGAGTGAGACCTGTCTCCACAAAAAGAAAAAAAAACCAAGACAAACAAAAAGAAGATGCATAAATGGTTACCATTGACAGGGTGGGGTGGCGGCATTGTGGGTTATGTTTTCCTTGACTTTCTAATATTTCTCTTCTTTCTTTCTTTCTTTCTTTCTTTCTTTCTTTTTTTGAGAGAGGGTCTCATTGTGTAGTCCAGGCTGATTTCAAACTTGTAGTGATCTTCTTGCCTTAGCCTCCTCAATGGGGTTACAGGTTGCACAGACCCCAGGAACTTATAATTTTAAAAGCATAAAAAGTAATTGCTCAAGCTGGATGTGGTGGCGCACACCTGTAATCCCAGCACTCAGGAGGCTGAGTTAGGAGGATCACTGTGAGTTCAAGTCCAGCCTGAACTGCATAGTGAGACCCAGTCTCAAAAAAAAAAAGAAACTTTTCTCCTAGGAAGTTGCTTCTTCCCCACATCCCAATAGCAGGGCTGCCCACTGACCAGCACTGGTGGGGTAGAAGGAAACCGCTGGCGTTGTGGGGACCAGAGTGGATGCAAACCCAGCGTACGGGATCAGCTCCAGCAATCACCAGTCCACGTGCACGGGATCGGCAGGGTGGGGACAGGGGACAGGGCTGTGGATCCAGGCCAAGGGCCTTGCTAGGAGCCAGAGAGGGCCCAACCCGGAAGAGGACCCAGGAGACCCAGGAGCCGGGGTTGGTGCCACCAACCCTTCACGGAGGACGCTGGCACCACCCAGGGCACCTTCCAGCTCGGAGTCTGCCCTGTGTGCGCCTGTGCCTCAAGTTCTCTTCCTCCCTGTCCAGGGAGACCTCCCCTCCTCCCCCACCCGCCTGGACAACAGCTGTCCACCTGTGTCTGGCTCAGGGCCAGAATCGGGGTGTTTGGACTCCGGCCAAGTGAGTCCATCCTTCGAAGAGGCCTCCGTGCCTGTGGCCCGTCCGGAACATGGGGCGCAGCAGCCACCGGCCTCACCCCGCAGCCTGCGCCCGGGCTGCTCACTCACACCGCCCGGCCGGCACCAGCAGGACCTTCGCGGGGGCCCTTGGAACTTTCGGGGGGCTCTCAAGGGGCCTGGGTCCAGCGTGAGCCCCCAAACAGGAACTCTGCGCCAAAGAAGGGAAGCATCTGCAGCCCATGGGGAGGGCTTCCCTGGAAGTCAGGCTGAGTTCAGGAAAACGCAATCCCAGGCAGGTGAGCAGTGCGCGCCCGTGTCGTCCTGCGCAGAGCTGGGCAGTGGGTTATTCCCAAGGCCTTGCAGGATTCCGGCGCTGGAGCCTCCAGTCTCGGGTGACAGGTGTCCCTCATGCGGGCTGGGGGGCGACTTTCACTTGGGGCTCCGCTCTGTGCTTCGGGGGGCAGCAGGAAGGCCAGGGCAATTGTCTTGCTCCCTGTTTCTGCCTGGTTTTTCGGGTGTCTTCAACTCAAAAAGCTCGGGGTGCCTGAGCAGCACGTTTGGGGTGATGTGTTCTTCACTCCTTCGGCTGGTCAGCCCTCTCAGCCCCGTGGCCAGGCCTCCACCTGTCCCCGGGCCTGGGGCCTCGCCCAGGACCTGGTGTTCGAGGGGAACCTCCTCCCCAGCACAGCAGTTCGGCTTCCACACTGCGACCTCCTATTGCGCTCCTCATAGCCTGCCACGGAGTCTCTCCCGCCAGGTTCCTCTCTGCCGCTGGGGCTGCTGGGGCGGAAACCCCGGTGGCTGGGCTCCTGCACCACAGCCTGGCCCTGCCGTGGGGCCTTTGCAAAGCTGGACAGGTGCACAGCGGGTGCAGGTCCACGCCGTCGACCGTGGTGAGCAGCAGGGACCCACAGATCTCTCCTTCACGCAGGACTGCGCTTTGCAGCTTAGTCGCCAGTGACTTGTGCTCTGTGCTCGTGGGTCTGCCCGCCTCTCTTTGTCCTCACACGCCTTGGGACTGGCTCCGCACCCCGGGCCTGGGTGTTCCAAGATGGACAGATAGAGGACGGGTCCTTGTTCATCATTCCCAGGGTCTCTTTGCAGGGCCTGGCCTATAATTTAGCTTGTTTAATCCTCAGTACAGCCTTTGAGGTGCCTCTGGCTCCGTTCACAGATAAAGACATTAGGAAGTTGAAAAACTCGTCCATGTTCTCTGTTCAGCAGCAGAGGCGGGGAGGGAGCCCAGGGCCCCGGCCTGAGAGCCTGACCCCCTGCCCTGAAGCAGGGTGGAGCTACTGTTTGCACAAGGAAGCACAGGGAGGGCTCGGGAGGCCAGGAGCAGAGGGGGAAGGACCTGGGGGCACAGCGTGTTCAGGAGGCCAGAGCAGAAGTGGAGATGACGACAGGGAGGAGCAGGGAGCCTGGGGGAAACGGGGGGCCTCCTGCCACCCAGGACACTGCGCTTACAACTCCTTCCGGGGAGCGAGCAGCCTGGCCCTCCGGCTTCCAGTGAAAGTGCACCCTTGTGCCCTGCGGGGCCTGGAGGCAAGGTGTCGCAGGCTCCACCGTCTTCGCCAGCCACCCTGCATGCCAGGCTGGGCCTCTCAGGCCTGGTTCCAAGGCCACCTTGTGCTGGGGATGTTTGTGGTTGCCGTGGTGACTGGATCAGTTCCCGTGTGTTCCTGGGTTGAAGGAAAACCATGCAAGTAGAGACATCTCCCCACCTGCAAGGGCTCTGGGGAGCAGGGCCCACCTCTCCATGACAGTGAGCCCCACTGTGGAGCCCCAGTCCTCCAGGGGAGACCTGTCCCGCTGCTGCCTGCGTCTCCACCTCGGTCCTTTCCCCAGGTGGGACTTGATCACTCAGGATTTCACAGGCAGGGGAAGGGGGCCCCTGGAGCCACATCGCCATGGGATATTGGGGTGTTCCTGTAGGGTGGCAGCAGGGCCCCAGCCACACAAAGCCCAACAGCTCAGCCCTGATGCCAAGCACTCAGTTCAGCACCTCCTAATCTTTCCAGCGGACCTGCCAGGCGATGAGAAAACTGGCAGAGAAGTTTTTTCCTGGCCTCATTTCAAGGTTAGAGCACAGGTGTCCAGGGGCAGCTGCCGCTGGCCCCTCTGCCACACCTGGCCGGTGCGGGGGGTGGTGGAAGTGTGAGCGGACCACATGGACCTCAGCCGTGGGGAAAGCACGGAGGCCCAGCTGTCCTGGGAGCCAGGGGTCCCTAGATGTCCCCTACCTTTGGCTCTAGGACCCCGCCTGGACGGCACAGCGGTCTAGGGTGCTCTACTCACCCCGCCTGTCGCCTGCACACAGAACCAGGGTGGCCAGGTGACACACAGAATGCCCCGGCAGAGGGAATTTCAGATCAACAGCAAACAGCTCTGAGCGTGAGTGCTCCCCAACTCTTGGCAGGACACGCTTACGCTAGGAAGTGTTTGCTGCTGACCTGAAATTCATGCTGGCCTCGGTGTCCTGGCTACTGGAACCAGGTGACCCCAGCTGGGGCCAGGTGCACATTGCAAGCGTCCTCTCCTTCTCTGCTTGCTGTCACTTATGCCTGTCCCCCCTTTTTCGGGGTCCTGCTCTGCGGAGGGATGGACACGCTGTGGCGGCTGACTCCAATCGCTCCGCTCCTCCGGTGCTGGCCTGGTCCCCGCCGTGGTCACCTCCCGGGCAGCTCTGGAGCCAAGGCCAATGCGGATTGCCGGGCCCTCCCTCTGGGATTCCAGTCCTACAGGTGTGCAGGTGAGATCAGCGGTCGGCATTTTTGTAGGCTCCACCGCTGAAACTGCCGCCAGGGGAACAACTGCGTGTCTTGTCGCAACTTGCCGTGAGTGCTGCACGCGGCCGCTTGTACTCTGTCCCGGTGGCAGAGTTAGCAGTCCGAGCTTCATGCCTGGGTGTACGTCTGTTTTCCTTTTTCCCCTTTACACTCGGGTTTCGGAAGCCTCTCTCTGGGTCAGAAACAACTGCTAAGCGCCTGGGTCCTGAGGACGTACAGCTTGCTGTCTTTCACTTAACGACGAGAGCGGCATCAATCACTTTCCCCTTGCCTGCCAGGAGGCTCAGAGCGAGACTTTTGCGTAAGCTGCAAGGCTCTTCCTAAGTCAGGATTTCTGATTGCAGAGCATACCCAGATGGATTTCATTACACGCCGGCTGTTCTTTTGTGGCTTCCTGCTGTAAACTGCCATCTCCAGCCTTTTCGGTGGAGGGTGGAGCACAAACCCATCCTTCGACTGCTGGGAGCTGCAGCTGGGAGGTTGGCCCAGCAGAGCATGCAGTCTCTGCGGAGCAGCAAGCAGCTGCCACCCACAAAGGCAGAGGGGGCTGGCAGGTGGACGGAGGGCGTTGGTGCACCCTGATCCCAGGAAGCTGGGGTGAGTGGCTGGCAGGAATGTGCTGACTCACCCACGACTCAGTTTCTCTTAGGGTGGAGGGCCGCCCCGGGGCACTGGGGAGTCTGGGAAGGGAGCAAGAACAATGCGGCCTCCTAGGAAGCGTGGAACCTCTGTCATGCCATTGTTCTTCCGACTGAGGGCCTGGGAAGTGCTGGCCTCACCCCGGGACCATCCGGATACGGGACACTTGGCACCTAAGAGACCACTGCGTTCCTAGTTCTGGAGATGCTGTAGAGTACGCCGGCCTGAGGCTGAAACAGTCAGGCTTCTGCCTTCCATCTTCCCAGGGGCTGCGGGCACCAGGGAAGCCTCGGCAAGGCGCCCTGAGCAGGTCGCCCGGGCCGCCGGTCTGTGGGGAGGGAGCTGGGGTTGGGGCTGGGAAGGCGGCCGGGCCTGATCCTCAACATCTCCTTCCAGGTGCTCTTGCCCTGCTTGGCGCTGGCAGGACACACGGAGCAGGTGCTGGGATGGTGCCAGTCCCGAGCTCAGAGGCCCTGGGCTCAGCGCACCCCCGGTCACGTTAGCCCGCGGGGATGGCGCTGGGATGACAGCAGAGATGCGCTCCATCTTCTGGAGGGGCACCGGGTGGGATTCACCTGTTGGAGAAAAGGAAGAAACAACTCCGACCAGGGCACACGCAGCCCTCAGGTGGGGAGACCGCAAACGGGTTTTCATGTGCAAGCCAAGGTGCTGACTGGACAAAGCCCAGGTAGCCCAAGCTGGCAGAGGGACAGTGCAGGTTTGGGTCACCGCTCCCGGAACAGGTCGCTGGCCGTCCTGGAGGCTTCTGGTCCCCCTGGAATGTGGGGAGGCGTCCATCCATGTGGAGTTGTGCCGAAGGCTTGGGGTGGCACCGATGTGTCTATGCCTGGTCCCAGGTGCTGCAGCTCCTCTGCCTCTGGGAAAACCGAGGTCAAGATCTTGGGGCTGTGCTCTGGAGGGAGGATAAAGAGCCTCTGGGGCTCCGTCTAGGCGGAGAAGCCAGCTCTGCTTTCCTGATGGCAACTGGCCTTGAACTCCAAGCGACCCTCCTGCCTCAGCCTGCAGAGTGCTGGGATTACAGGTGTGCCCCGCCACACCTAGTGTTATGGTTCATGTCTAGCTGTCCCCGCCCAAAACCTCATGCGGGCACCGGTGTGGCTTTTTCAGAGGTGCCTGGATCTAGAATGTGTGACGCTGGGATTGATTCATGGTACAGTGCTAGGATCAAGGACACTGGGATTAAGGGTGTGAGTGCTGCCCGCCCTCAGTAGCCTGGATAAGATGTAAGGGACAGAAAGAGCTGTGGTCGGCCTTTGCTTGCTTTGCTGCCTTTGGCCCACCATGAACTGTTTCTCCTCTGTGATGCCTGTGTGCCACGCCACCCTGCCTTGGAGGCAGCTAACATGGACTGAAACCTCTGCACACTGTGAGCTGAATAAACCTCTCCTCCTTAACATTCAGTGTCAGGCATTTTGCCCCAGGGATGAGAAAAGTAACTAAGATACTGGCTTACTTTTAACTTCTTATACTCGGATAAGGGGCAAAGGGACGAACTCAGGACGAACTTATAATTACTTAAGAGGAGCAAAGCACACAAATTCGGAAAATTCTCAGCCTGACCACTAAAGAGTGAAAAATCATGTCAGCCAGGGACAGATGAAGCCTTTCAGGTGACTTCAGGTAGTCTGTCCCACCAGAGACCAGAGTTCTGTGGGGCACAATGGCTTTAAGGGGCCATCCTGGGGTATCCTTCATGGCTCCCTTGGGGCCTCTGCTCCCCAAATTCTTGCACAGAGCTACTGGGCTGCCCTGGCAGTGACCCATGGGCTCCAGGTGCAACTGAAGCCATTGCTCCCAAGGATGTGAAAGTAGGCCTGGGACCTGCTTCCTGGGGAAGGGAAGCTTATTCTCCCAGTAAGATGTAGTCTTCTAGACAGGAAGTAGCCCTCCCGGAAGTAGAGCTCCAAGTAGGAAGTACACGGTCTGCCTTGCTGCCCCGCCCCCTTAGCCTGTCCCTTTCTTTGGGAGGAGAGTGTCCCCCTGCCCCTGTCCTGTCACCATGCTGGAAGATGAAATTCTTCCAATATTAGGGGCTCACAGATGCAGGAAGTTTGCTTTGAGCCCCAGGTGACACTCGGGACTTTGGCCCTTTAAGTGGATGATGAATCAGTAGTGACTCTGGACCTGTTTTCGGGACTGAAGGGCTGCATTTTGTACCGGAGAAGGACGTGAGTTCCGGGAGCCAGGGGTGGGGTGCTGTGATTTGATACGAACTCTGCCAGGGTCTGGCTCCCCAGTGTGGCAGATGGGGAGGTGGGAACTGGTGGGCGTGTCTGGTTCACGCCCTCAGGAGTGACAAAGGCCCTCCTTAAGGGGTGGGTTCCTCTGTCAGGGGCTGGGGCAGCTGCCTCAGAGAGAGCAAGGTCAGCCCCATGTTGTCCCCTCACCCCACTGCCTACTCTGCCAGGAGTTGCAGCAGCCCAAGGGCCTCCACGAAGCCGGCCACACGTGGCCTCCTGACCTTGGCTGGGCTTCCCACCTTCTTCAGTCAGGAGAGGCTGTAAGCCTCATCCCTACAAATCACCCAGCCTGGGGGCTGGGGATTTAGCTCAGCGGCACAGCACCTGCCTGGCAAGTGCAAGGTTGTGAGTTCGATTCCCGGTACTGGAAAAAAAAACAAAAAAACCCAAACCATACAATAACATACAATACTGCATGATACAATACTGCTTGGGTCGTCTGTTTCCCCTGCAGGCTGCAGTGTGTGCACATTTGTGTGTGTAAACTGGTGACAGCCATGGCCTGTGCACACACTGGTGTGACCTGGCCAGGCCGGCGACTCCCCCACCGTCCCCAGCGGCAGGCTGTCTCAGTGGCCTGGAGCTGGGAGATGGCTGCGGCATGTGTGCTGAGCGTGTCTGGCCATCTTATCATTGCAAAGAGACTAAGGGCTTTCCCCGCCCTCCCAAAGCCCTGGGTTTGTGTTCTGAGGGTCAGGCTGGCCTTGTCAGGCACCTTGGGGTCAGGCAGGGGCCTGTGCATGGCAGCCCGGAAGGAGGGGACCTGGCAGGGACGGCTGGGAGAGCTGCAGGCCCACGCCCTGCCCAAAGGGCCACGGAGCAACCCTCGGTATTGGCCTGGGCATCAGCTGGGCCCTGTGGAGAGAGACCTGATTTCTCAGGTGTGACAACATCTAAGTAAAATCATGAGACTCACAAATGTTGGCAGTGCATTTAAACATTTGCGGAAACAGTTTTTGTTTGTTTGTTTTGTTTTTCTGAGACAGGGTCTGGCTGTTTAGGCTGGCCTCAAACTCTTGGGGACCCTCCTGCCTCAGCTTCCTGGGTGCTGGGATTACAGGCAGATGGAGGGCCTGGCCATGCAGCACATTATCACTGAGCTGTGAGTTGTTCGTTTTAAAATGGATAACTTTATGTTACACGACCTTCACCCAGAAATAAAACCCGAACCACCTGTCTTCGTCACATATATACATGGTGCTCAAAATGTATGATCCACACTTAAATTTAAAAAAAACCTCATCACCCTAAAACAGACACTGCAGAGAAAAGTAGGATCAGTGTGTTTGAACCGAGGGGGAGTTTTTGAGGGGAGTTCATGGCAATCTGTCTTTTGCTCTAATAAATTTAGCACATTTAAATATTCACCGTATTTTTAAGTGTGTGGGATTTTGTTCTTGTTCTTGTCTTTGAGACAGGGTTTGTCACACAGTCCAGGCTGGCCTTGAATGCGCAGCGATCCCCCTGCCTCATTCTCCTGAGTGCTGGGATCACAGGTGTGCACCCCACACCCGGCCTATTCACTGTATTCTTGATTACCCTGATGTTGATCAGATGTTTTCGGCAAGTTCTGTCAGTAAAACTATCTTGCTGTGCCCTCACCCACCTGGCCCTCCAGGTGTGGCACCGTGCGACCCCGGCCTTCCGCAAGTCAAAGTGACCGTGTGAGGCCAGCGTTTTGAATGGACTCAGGACGTCGAGGCAGCCAGGACAACGCTGCTAGAGACACAGGAACAAGGACCCCAGAGCCGCCGCAGAGAGTGGCAGGGACGATGGGATGAGTGTGTTGGAAGCGAGGGGAGGATTTTGAGGGGGGCTCACAGCGATACGTCTTTTATCTTAGTAAAGTTAAAAAAAAAAAAAAAAATCAAGCATTCACCATATACTTTGATCACACCGCTCCCGCCATGGCAGCTTCTTTCGGCCTCAGGGTCCAGCTGGAGACAGGCCTGGCTCAGGCCCAGTGCCCTGGGGGGATGAGGCCAGTGGTGTCCTTAGGCCAGGAGCCTCTGGCCCCTGAGCAGGTGGAGGCAGTGGCCGGCTGGGGACGAGGGAGCAGGTCGCAGGTGACTGGGGGCCGGTGCGGGGTGTGGAAACCTGGTTGAGGGCAGGGCCTGTGTAGCCACCGTGTGCTGAGTTCCCGGCTCACCAGGAGCAGCACAGTGAGGTCGGGTGACCAGCAGCACCCGGACAGCGCCACAGTAGGGCGGCTGCCCAGCCTCCCTCATTTTCCCGGCCCTGGATGTTTGGTGCAATCCAAGGTACCTGGGCACAGTGATGCATGCCTGAAGTCCCCAGCTCCCGGGGAAGCTGAAACAGGAGGACTGCTTGAGCCCAGGAGTTCAGCCTGGACAACACAGTGAGACCCTGTCCCAAAAGCAAACAAAGGATGGCAAAGGACCTGTGGAAATGACTGTGACGACGCATACATCCTTTAGGGAAAGGGCTGTGAGTCACCTCTAATTTGATTTGGGAAAACAAAGAAAAGTGGATCCCCACAAGGAGCCCTGGGAACCCAGAGTGTGTGGGGAGGGGAGAGGGCAGCCCCGCCACCCCCCTTCCAGATGCTTGGGGGCTCTGGCTCCCAGCAGAAGCCCAGCAGGTACAGGAGGTCGGTGTCGGTGCGAGTACAGGGAACTTGGGGGGCCAGGGATGGGCTCACCCAGCTTCCACATAGCACTGGGGCCGCCCCTGGGGAAGGGAGTGCATACGGGGTGGTCTGATGACAAGCAGCCTAAGAGCTCTTGCTGGGGGGGCTTCCTGGAGGAGGTGGCATCCAAGCTGAAGCATGAAGGAGAATACTGGGTCTGCACGAGGACTGGGTGGGTGGTCACAGCACGTGTGAGTCTCCCAGGTGGGCCAGGAGGCACAGACTCCAGGGCACGCACAGGACCTTTCCCAAGGTCAGGGGGCACCAACAAGGATGGTGCTGGCCGGGCCAAAGGGGCACCAGAGGGAGCCACGAGAGGGTCTCTACCCAGGGAATTAATGAGGTCTCTCATTTGCATGGGAGAGCCGGGTGTGGTGGCACACACCTA